CCACAAAAACGGTTTCCATTATAAGTTATATCATAGTTTAGTATTTAGTATATTTTAAAATTTTGACAAGATTATGTTTTTAGTTTTTTATATTCATAGTACTAAAATAGTATAATATTTTTTTATTATATATTCTAATATAAATTTCCACCATCCCGCTAATTTTTATGTTGTAATACAATTTTTACATTATTTTTTAAAACGTTTATTTATCATATTTGAGTAAAGTATGTCTATTTTTAAAAATTCGAATCACAACATATTCCAAAAAATAATTTTTTCTTAAATAAATAAATGAATCAAAATCGAATTAAAATTGATTTTAATTTAAATTCCGTCGTAACCATTACTTTACTAAAGATATATGATAAAGATTCTTGAGAGAATAATTTAAAAATAAATAAATGCCAATATCATTGCCTTTAAATAAGTTCCAACTCCAAACTTTCTTTGTCAAATATACTTCAGTTTTAATAATATAGATAATTTGTTTCTTTTTTCTGTTTACCATTTGTAAAATTAACATAGACCATGGAGGGAAATACTCATGGCAACTTTTAGAATGGCAACTTTTTTTAAAGCTAACAAAATATGACTTTATTTTCTTAAAAATTACGATTTATTTTCTAAAATCATAAATTTTACAGTCATGAATTTAAAATAAAGCTTACCGTAAAAATCTCAACCAATCGACCCCTAATTGGTTTATAGATAATTGCGGTTTTTCTTTTGGGTTACGGACAAATACAAATGAGAGTTTTCTCTGATTTTAGTCTCATTAAAAATTGAGATGGGAACGGCTTCAAGCCCAGACACAAAACCCATTACTACCTGACCCATTTACGAAGGTCATGACCAAAATGTTTCCAATTCAGAAAAACAATAACCAGGAAAAACTCAAAGTTTGATGTAAAGTTCTGAAGAAACATATGATAAAAGATTCAATAATGTTGAGATCAAAACTCTTTCTCATGGTCCCATTCATCATCCTCAGTGTTTAGAGTCGTTGTGGTGAGCTCAGGAGTACTGTATCCTGTTGATGAACCATTGGCTCTGAGCTGTTCAAAGAAGAGAACTTGCACTATCACTCGCATTGGCAAACGCTCGTTCTGCACCGCATGTTCACACGCTTCCGCTGATAGTTTCCTGCAATCCATTAACCCGCATACTCTCTTCTTCTCGCTCTTGCTAACACCCGAATGTTCCTGAACATTTCCAAATCAAAACCCATTAAAAATCAAGAATCTTTATGAGAAACTACAAGTGAATATGGATCTTGTTTTACCTTGAGAAACATGTCTATGGCGCGATATAACCCGTCATGAGACTGTCTTGGGAAGCTAGAGAGTGTCTCCGCGAGAGAGAGGAAGTTCTGAAGAGGAAGATTAGGATCTCTTGATTTCTCAGCTAAGTATCCATCTATGAGTTTTGCAACAGATGCTTTCGAATGAGTTTTCGGATCACGGTTCATAAACTCCTTCACTAGGCTCTGCACCATATCCAAATCATACATCAAGATATCATTCACTGTTGTTTCTTCAAGCTGCTCACTGATTCTTTTCTTTAACCTCTCTTTCACTGTTTCTTCATATCCAAGAAAGATCGATGCTCGATGTAACTTGGTCAAGAAACTAGAAGAAACACTTCTTTTCTCACCTGGTATAAGCTCAATGATTGTATCAGTTAAAGATTTATCAACGATTTGCATTGAGCCTTTACTAAAACCAGCTATTCTTCTTTTTGCATAAGCGTGTAACGCTTCTCCAATAACGGTATTCGGGACTTTCCCTTTCGCCTTGATTGCTTCAATGGCTTGTTTATACAATTCCATATGAAGATCGCATAAATCTTCTACCCACCAGTCTTTTGGAACCGCATCTTCTGGTTTTTTCACGTTCTCAAGCTTCTTCTTGTTGGATTTGAAGAGACTAAGCTCATAAGAAAGAGTAAACAATCACTTGGTGATTGAATCTCAGTTTATCCACACAAAGGGAACTCATTCTCAAGAGGAAGAGACCATCAACTTGTGATGGAATCCACACCAATATAGCTTGATAGAACCAAAATCTCTATGGAGAGAATCGATCCTAGCAAGACAACTATCTCTAGTATGAAGCTAGATTCGTGAGAAGTGACACAACACTAGAGGTTTGTGTACTTAGAGAGAAACGAATCTATGAATCATTTAGCTAGAGTAATCAACATAAATAAGAGATTAAGAAGAGTTTAAGGTGTATTTAAGAGTAGTATGACAAGCAATAGGCTGCCTAGAGGCAGCCCTAAATCGTGTAACACTATCTCTCTACATTGTAACACTTTGGTTGAACACAAGTAAAGAAGAGAGAGCTACACGAAATTGATAAGAGCTTGTCTTTTCTTATTGATGTGTTAACCTTTACAATGAGATTACAAGGCTTTATATAGAAGGAGAACTAGGTTAAGATGTCTCACAATTCCCTTTAATCATAGCCCTTCTTTTCTCTCTTTAAATCTCCACCATTGAATTCAAAATAGCTTCTAGAAGGTTGTGGTCCAACTTTGACCAAGACCAAGTTTGAATTTGAATCTACTTCCTTTGTCTCCAACGGCTCTTAGGTCTTCTAGAAGGTCTCTCATGGGCTTCTCTTATGTGACACCAATCTTGCACATTATTATCTTCACTAGGTGACACGAGTTTTGCACATTCTTGTATTCATGCATAGACTTCATTTTGCATCCTCGGTCTTGATACTTTTGACACCAATTATGCACATTAGGTCATGATAACTTTGACACTAATTTTGCACATTGGGTCTTGATAACTTTGACACCAATTTTGCACATTGGTGTCTCGTCTTCGGCCTTGTCTTGAGATCTTCGGCCTTGACTCGTCTTATGAATTTACACCAATTTTGCACTTTGGTGTCTCGGTGACTTTACACCAATTTTGCACTTCCGGCCTTGATACCTTGAAGTGACCCGAGCTTTGCACGGCTATCTCATGGAGATCTTTCTCTTCACTTGGTTCAATACTCCCCCGCAAGCTTGAGCGTCGGGACAATAAGGACCAAAGGTCAAGCTTGGAGATCTTCGGCCTTGACTTCATGACTTCGGCCTTGACTCCTTTCTACTTCTTCTTATATTTTAATACTTCTTCCTGTTGTAACTGTAAGACCACTTGACTTTCAACGTGTCTATCGAAGCTGTAGAAGCAATAGAGTCAAGACAACGCTTCAAGAGCTCCTCTGAGTAATTAGACAAGAGATCTTTTGTGGTCTGAAGCACAATTATAGAATCTTTCCAACTACGGAAGATGGTTGAGTTCAAGAAAACATCAATCTTGTAAACAAGATTGCTTTTCTCAAACGTTTCATTCATCTCCAAGAACTCAGCCGCGCAACGAGCTGCTACTACATTGTAAGCGTTTAAAGTAACCGTGATGCCGTAACAGAACTTGACACAAATCTCAAACGCAACAGAACCACCAGGAATCTCTGATATGTCAATCTCATCAATTTGGTTCTTCTTCTCCTCTTCATTTTTTGATGTTGCTATGAGTCTCAGCAAGAATCCGCTTTTCGACAGCAATGGGAACTGAAAACACACACAAAACATAAACACTCTTGCTTTTGCTTGTTCTTTGATGTTTTAAAAGGTAGATTTTGTTTGCATACCTTATGCAGATAGAATTTGACATTGCCTATGATGATGATGATCTCTGTTTCTAACTCAGTTGTTGCATACCTAAGAGCCAAAAAACAGACAATTTCTAAGAAAAACATTGCTTAAAGAGACATAGAGGTAAATATCTGTTTTCTACAAACCTAACATTGTCTCCTTTAGATTGAAATGAATCAGGCTTGGTTCCAAGTTTCATAAACTTCATTTTTTTCTGTCTCTCTTTTAAGAAGTTACAAGACTTTCAAGATCGTTAAACACAAAAGAGAAACAAAGCTAAGAAGAGATCTATGCACAATCTTGCTCTCAAGAAAGCTTAAAAGGGTTACTTAAAAAGAAAGATTGTTTTTTTTTTTTTTTTTTTTTTTTTTTTTTTTTTTTTTGGCAACCTTGGGCCACAACTGGGCGGCCCATTAGCCTAATCCCTACAAATTGTAAGGGGAGGGATTCGATCCCTGGGGGGAAGGGGCCTGTCCATCAGTGGACTTATCATCTGCCACTAGACTAAGGTCACTTCACAAGAAAGATTGTTTTATATACATGTAAACAAATATATAATTTACAGAGAAAACTTAGAGATTCACAACAACACACCCACCAACCTCTCAAGGCTCGAAAACCCAAACACCACGCTTGTTTGTTTGTTTTTTTAACTCTTTTTTTTTTCTAAGTGCTTAGCACATGAACTCCTCTTTTTGGTTGCCCATTGTGTAATGTTAAAAAATAAACCCAAGATTTTTGACTACGGCAAAAAAAAAAAAAAAAAACGAATCCAATGGTTGCATCTTTGTGATTTGGGTGATGAATGAAAAAAATAATGGAAAAAAATAAGTGTTTTAAGCAGTTCTCTGCAGTAACCAGAATTTCTTGGTAACATTTATTCAAAGGACAAAACGAATCAAATCTTTTTGTATGTTTTCTATAAAGATGGTTAAGCGAAAAGCATAACAACAGAGAAGTCAGAGATACACATATTTTCTACTTTTTAACATACTTTAAAATTTAATCAAGGATCAAAATCTTGGAGTGGTTCAAAGAACCCTTAAAGAAAAAATACAACTACAACTATCTATACCAAGTGTGTTATGTTACATTTAGTCAACTGTATGAAATTTTCTGTTCTAAATCATTTAGTCAAGCCCGCACAGATTTGTTTTTGGGGTTTTTTCGCAAAAAATCTCGTATTAATTTAAGTTAAATTTGATTTACAGTATATATTAGACAATTATTTTATAGGACGTAAATTTGTTTCCCAACAATGTCACAAAAAATGGTTTTCGGCCCAAAGTACAATGGACCGGCCCATTAGCCCAGTCAACTCCATTGTAGAAGAGAGGACTTGATTTTGGGTGAGAGATTGCAGGACACAAACGAGTGTGTGAGAGAGAAGAAGACAATCGTCAAGTGTTGTTATTGGTGGTGAAGTTATAAGAATTCGACGAAAGGGTACGTACTTGAATTTTCAAGATTTTTTACTAATAAAAGAACTTCCTTTTTGATAATTTATCTATATATGCACACCAGTTGCTCGACGAATTGTCTAAGTAAGATATTCCTTTTCTTAATCTGTGTTTTTTTGTTCTCATGTTTGTTTGGTTCGTTATGTTTCTTCCTTTAATCAGCTAATTTGAATGATATAATTATCTGGGTTTTGCTGTTGTTCGAATTTGTGATCATACCCTTCAGATTTTTAGAATCATATCTTCTCTAGTGATATGTGTGTGGATGAATCAGTGCTTTTTATATGCTTTTGTCAATTATCTTCTCATGAAATTTTGATTCATTGTGATCAGCTGAAGACCAGTATAGGAAGAAGTTGATCATTTTGTGAACATGGATCCTAATCATACCGACGATCTATTAAAGTGCGTCTTTTTGTTACAGTTTTACGCTTATTTTCGTGTGTATGCGTATGATGATTTACTGTTGTTAGCAGCACATCAACAGCCATTTGGAGAAGCAAAATGAATTGCTCACAGAAACTCGTAAAACCATGACTCAAGAACTTCAAAAACTCGAGGTTTGTTGATGAAACTTAGTGTACATTAGCTCTTTTCAATCTCACGTACATTTGTTGTTTAGGTGGAAGAAGAGATGATGATGCGGAAATTCTATGAGCTAATGTCTACACATCGCTTAAATAAGAAGGTTTGTTTAATGATCGTTGTTTTTTGAAGATGTTCATGGTGGATTTGATTGAGATTGATGTTGGTTCTTTTGAAGAAAACGAAGGAGACTCAAAATGTGTCACAAGGTAAAGAAATAGTGGAAGTGGAAGCGGAAGCCGAAGATACTTCCAGTACATCGAGGGAGTTAATCGTATATGTGAGAAAAAGGAAAAAGAATCAAAAGCCAACACAATGAAGATTTCCATGTCTCTGTTTAAGTGATGGAACAATATCAGCTTCTTCTTTCAGCAACAACTAAATTCTACGAACTGAATTTATCAAGATTGTTTTTTTTGGTTCATTGATCTTTAAGTTGTTTTTGAGTGATGAAAATCGTTTCAATTGCTCGATAGTCGATACAAGTAGTCATATGAACCTTGTAAGATGTTCTTGGTGTCATTAGAGTTTCATCTGATCCTATGTGAGACTATAATTAATAATATGTAATCGTGAACCAAGGAGAAGAATTGTGAGATATATGAATACCACATCCATGTAAACGGTGACGCGTATGCAGCCTATTCAAAACTTCAAAACCACAATCCAATGATCTAATCTTGCTTGAGAGGTAAATTTCAACAGTTTCGAGTATCTTTAAACCCATACAAGAAATAGTAAAAGTGATACTTGTAGAGGTAAAAATTGATATATATATATGGGTGGGTCCATAGCTTAGTAGACTTAAGAAATGTCTATTAGGTATCCTGAAAAGCTCTTTCAAGTTTCAACACTTTTATTCGAGTATTCGTCATATTTGCTACGTGTAAACTAAATTACTTTTTTTTTGTGTGTGAGATTTAATAACTTCGTTCTTTCCCACTCTCTCTCTATATATATATCTCTAGTCTCTAAAGATATTTTGGAAGAGAAGATTCATCAAAAAAAAAAAAAGATATTAAAGGACCATTTTAAGGAAGTGAGAACAAAAAAGTAGTTGTAACGATGGAGAAGTATGAGATGGTGAAGGATTTGGGATTTGGTAATTTCGGTTTGGCTCGGCTTATGCGTAATAAGCAAACAAACGAGCTTGTGGCTGTCAAATTCATCGATCGAGGCTATAAGGTTTTTAGTTATTTTTTTTTTACTATTTTTTTTTTTTTTGTTTGTTCTTTTCTCTGATACTAAGAACTTTGAGGTTGTTACCAAACTTGTTGTTTGATGCAGATAGATGAGAACGTTGCAAGAGAAATAATCAATCATAGAGCTCTCAACCATCCCAATATTGTTCGGTTTAAAGAGGCAAGTGAAATATTTTAGTTCATTAAAGAAGTGAATATTAGGTTATTTATTTTTGTCCTTTACTCGAATCTCTTAGTTCACATAATTCAAAAACCTGTCTCGTCGTTGACTTTGAATTCGGATTCTCCTAAAACTCGTTTCTAACTTCGTGAAAGGTCCAAAGATTTTATTCGATATAGGAAACTTCAAAAAATATGGCACTTTGACGCTAATAAAAAATATATTGAAACTTGGTGTGTTGATGATTTAGGTTGTTCTAACTCCGACACATCTTGGGATTGTAATGGAGTACGCAGCTGGAGGAGAACTATTTGATCGGATATCTAGCGCGGGTCGATTTAGTGAAGCTGAGGTTTGGAAATGAAATTCTTGTTTTTTTTTTTGTCAACAACATACATTTTATCGAAAATAAGATGATAATTTTAGTTACCACATTTTTGATTCATTATACCCTCATTAATATCAATTAATTTATTTATTTTACTTGCAGGCAAGATATTTCTTTCAACAACTCATTTGTGGAGTCCATTACTTACATGCCATGGTAAATTGATTGTACACACCAAATTGTATTATATAATAGTTGTGTTGTGAGTTTTATTAATGAAAATTTTTATTATTGCAGAAAATATGCCATAGAGATCTGAAATTAGAAAATACATTGCTTGATGGAAGCCCAGCACCACGTTTAAAAATTTGTGATTTTGGCTACTCAAAGGTTTTTATTTTATTTTTATTAGTTCATTTCTTTTCAATTTTTGTAACATAAAATCTAAACTTCTGAATGTATAATAATAATTTCTAAATTTTGGACAGTCTTCTGTTCTGCATTCCAACCCAAAATCAACGGTGGGAACTCCGGCATATATAGCACCGGAAGTTTTTTGTCGATCGGAATACGATGGAAAGGTAAATTAAATTATTTCCATTTTTAATAATAATGAATATATTTTTGTTTTTTTTTTCTAATAACAAAGATATTTACAAGTCTGAATTCCACTTTCAATAGTGTTTTTAGGTGGACATTCCACTTTCAATAGTTATAAAACCATAATTCATGGAAAAAGAGTAGTAAACGACAAAAGCTAGCTTGCTTCCTATATCCACTTCACATGACATTTGTTACTAGTCTTCTATGGTAAATTGTATACTACTATATATCGACTTTATCCAATATCTATTCAAATTAAATGGCCACTGTCAAATAACCAACGTCAGCAAAATGTTCATTGGTCAACTTAATATTTGTTTTGGGAAGTAACTTGCACAATTATATTTCGTGGTGTTGCCTTTAAAGTTATCAATATACTTTGCTAAGAGGACAATTGTCCATTTCGAATAGACCAACTGTAAGTGTAACTAAATGAAAAACATACTACCAAATGTGTGGCAGTCTAATAGCAATAGATCAACCTTTTGGAAGCGATAATTTCTGTTCAAAATTTGTTTTAATTCGAAAAAACAAAATTTAAATCCAAATAAACATAAGTATAACAAAATAAACCAAGACTTCTTTAAGAAAAATTTTAATGATCAGCATTCCTATTTTTACATCCCACTATTCATACAAAAAACTATGTAACAACCAGAATTCGAACCTGAACATGTTCTACTCCTTAGTCGGAGGAAATTTAATTCGAGGTCACGATTTTTTGTTCGAAATAAAATAAAAATGATACTAATGTTTATTGGTTACAGATTTACAATATAACTTGAGGTTGTTTGATTTATATAAACTTTCTACAGTCAGTTGATGTGTGGTCTTGTGGAGTGGCACTCTATGTTATGTTAGTAGGAGCTTATCCTTTCGAAGACCCTAAAGACCCTCGCAATTTCCGAAAAACTGTTCAGGTATTTTTTTAATGTATAAAATAAAATAAACGTAGTGATCATCTATATAATCACACAATCATATGTCATTTTTGGGTTGGAAATTGCAGAAAATAATGGCTGTGCAGTACAAGATTCCAGGATATGTTCACATATCAGAAGACTGCAGAAAGTTATTATCTCGTATATTTGTTGCCAATCCGTTACATGTAAGTATAGATGGATTTTTAACCTTATTGTTTATCTGCTAATCAACTTCTTTAAATGTTTGTTGTTTTGTAACTATTATAGAGAAGTACGCTTAAAGAGATTAAGAGTCATGCATGGTTCGTAAAGAATTTGCCAAGAGAACTAAAGGAGTCAGCACAAGCTATTTATTACCAAAGGAATGTTAATCTTATTAACTTTTCTCCTCAAAGAGTAGAGGAGATTATGAAGATAGTTGGTGAGGCAAGAACCATTCCAATCCTTTCTCGCCCGGTCGAATCGCTTGGACCAGGTAAGATAGATGATGAAGAAGAAGAATATTTGGATGCTAATGATGAAGAATGGTATGATGATTACGCATAAACAATAAAAATGTATTTCATGTTGTCAAATTATGAAGTATTTGTAATTTTATATGTGATCTTTGGTTTTTCTTTTCCTTGTTGGTTTAGTGAACATAGTAACAAAATTAGTGTAAAGGTTTTGTTTTAAGAAAACGTTTGGTAACTTATGTTCAGTTTTGTTCGAATATAGGGATTTAGAAAACGAATTAATTTGTTTCTTTTTTTTTTTTTTTTTGTCGTCTAAATTTATTATTAATTGCAAATTATGAGAACTGTTACATAGACGATTCTACAACTGACAATTCCTTCCGACCCTTACTAGATCTACGACAGACTACACTATCTTCTTCGTGATCTTGATGAATACCTTCAATGATCCACGACCTAGCGACACTTCCTTCTCTGCGTAGAATCCTGGCGAACGGCTATAATTGTACATCGCTGGAGATCTCTTGCACACTTGCCTCCATTAATCTGCAAATTTGTTAATAAATAGCAATATCTGGGACTCGAACCCCAGACCTCTTGGTGTAGAAGCATTAATCAATCCTTGATCAACCAATGGGCCAAGGGGGCTTCCACGTTTCTTTTTCTTTTGAATCATATTTTTGACTTAAATCGGTTCAACTCTGTTTAAGTTTTCTAGTTTTTCCTCTAGTAACAAGCACAATATTGGTAATGATAATTCATTCTGTTTCTACTTAAAGATGGTAAAGATAAATGGAGTCCAGTTTTGGCATGTGTAACACACTATACTCCACATTATCTAAAACGAAAATCTTTTTTATTTTTATGAATTCATAATAATGTTAAAATATTTTACATTTAAAAATGTTGAATCTACTATTACTGAATATTACTAAAGCAATACTCACTAAACAAGTAAACAACTAAATTTGTTTTGTTTTTACAAATAAAAATGTTTTGGAAAGTTAACCTAAATAGGATGATCTTCACCAACGCATCTCACTAACTTTTCACATTAGTAGCTTTGGTATGTAGGTAACCCTCTCACTTCAAATCCTTAACCAAGAAGATAGATTTGTCAAAGTCCGGATATTTCAAAGAGTCTCCAAGGCATATTACAATTTTTGTGAACACATAAATTTTATTTAATGAATTTGTGTATGTGTCTTCACTCTTCAGGTTAACACCAGTGGAGAGATCCTGAAATTTATTTTAAGACCCATCCCAACATCAACAGTGAAAAGTTAAATCATTGAATCGAAACAATCGATTTTGAAAAGTTAACAAATAAAAGGTGATG